AAGCTGGACAATGACTAGGGATGATAGAAGGAGAATTGATGCCTTTGAGTTGTGGTGCTGGAGAAGAGTACTGAATATACCATGGACTGCTAGGAGAACTAACAGGTTCATTCTAGATAGGGTGAGAGACCAGGCTGCTCCTTGGAAGCAAGGATTCTGAAACTTCATCTGACATACTTTGGACATGCTGCAAGGAGGAACCAGTCCTTGGAGAGAGATGTCATTCTTGGGAGGGTGGAGGGACAGCACAGGAGAGAAAGACCCTCAATGATATGGATTGATTCAGTGACTGGGGCAACGGGGGTAGATATGTCAGAGACCATAAGATTGGCACAAGATAGAGCAGGATTTAGGGCTATTGTACATAGGGTCACTATGAGTCACAGGTGACTTGATAGCACATAACAACAACAACATTCACAAAACAACCACATTCACAATGCATATATTGTAAACTTTCTCCTGATACGTACAAATACAAAGTTCAAGTCACAGGTTTGCTTTATTAAAGTGCATTCTTGATAAATAACTCAGATTAATAGTAGAAAATGCCATTGCTTCTTAGTTAAAGCATGTCCTAATAAGATTTTTAGCTCTATGAATAGCACACCTGGCTATAATGCATTTCTTTTACTAAGGAAAGGAGAAGAACTCCCTGGAGGGTATAAATGTTTGATGCAATCTGCTGCCCATCCAAAGGTTACAGCCCTGAGTTGGCCCAAAGGCGCCGGAGGAAAGGCTGGTTATTGGAAAAACCAGCTGTTGGAAACGCTGTGCAGCGTGATTCTACACACACACACACACACACACACACACACACGCTGTCCATGAGTCAACTGGGCAGCAACTCCTTTTCCCTTAAGAACACAAAAATAGGCCTAAAAATAGCATTTCTTGGGTCAAAGATTTAGCAAAAATCAGAGAACCAACAGATTTAGGAAAGTCAAATCAGAGAGAAGCTGCTTTCTACTCCACCATTTCATTCTTCACTGGGTAACAAACACCAGAGCTGGAGGCCATGATGTTTTCCTGATTCTTATAATTCCTTTTGACAGCAATAATGCAGTTGAAAGGCAGATGCTGTGGAAAAGACAGTTCTCAGCACTGTCTCTGAGGTGTTTCCAACTGTCTTCTCCTTGAGCCAGTCGATTGTGCTCAGAGGCAGAGCTTCTAATTGGACTTCATTTCTGCTCTTCTCTTAATTTCTCCTTTTTCATTAGAAATAAATACAGTTTGAGAATCTGGGTGCCTTTGGGGAATTACTACTCTTTTAAAAACATGATTATATTTTGATGACAGAAGTAGGAAATATATTTTTCTGGATCCTCCACTGGAATTGTTAAGTACATTGCTAAAGGGAAAATAAGGTCCCTGGGGGATGGACATTACTGACATTATAAACGCTCATAAAAATTCTGTGTTTCCAGAATTTTTCCAGTTAGTCTAAACTACTAAGGTTTGAGATCCTTTTCAGTGGGAGGCAGAAAATAGCTTTTCTATCCAATTAAACATCCAAATGACTCTGGTCAGTTCATTATATAACAATTATGCTCCTTTTTCTTTAAAAAGCAGCTCACACTTCATATACATCATCACATTTCTCCCACAAAATTTTGTGATTAGGAAAATGAGGGTAAACGCTATCACCATAAGTTTGTTCATTCAGAGCCTGACACCAGACAGGCTAATAGTTTTGCTTTAGAGTGGACTTAGCGATGAGTACTACACCCTTAGCACCCATTTCAGAAAATTCTTCTTAATAATTAGCACAAATTGCTGTGTCCTACATGCAGGGAAGGGACTGGGGTGGACATTAACTATTAAATACGATTGGCTTACAGAACGACTAATGCCTATATCCCTCAAAAAACGCATATTCAGACTAACTTTCAGGTAACAGTTTTCTCCCACAGATTAAGGTCGTGCCTAACAGCACAGTAGCTATGAAACGTAACGGAATTAGTGAGATACATTTATAAGGTGGAGTTCACCCTTTTTTTTTTTTAATTTTTGAAAGTCTTTTGTTGGAACGAAGGAAACGATCATTCTTGGATGGCTACCAACAGTAGAAAGGGAAGACTAGGGGAGTAAAAATTAAAAAATAGATTGGGAGCAAGGAAAGGTAATACACAGTAAGGGTTGATCAGACATTCAATTAATTACATTAATCAATTCTAATTAATGTTATAAATAAAAATGCACATGAACAGTTGAATGAAAACCGCTTTTTCCCGGTCTCCGTTTTGCTGCATGGAGGTAGAGACGTGGGTGGGCTCAACATCCGGCCCCACCATAACCCACCTCTATGGCAGAGGAGGGCACTGCTGCTGGAGGTATAATGGACGTTACTACAGCTAAAGGGGTTTTACAAGAGGTTACAAGAGGTACTAAAGACCGCCCTCACCCCCGATGGCCTAGCACGTGGAATCCATGAAGCTGCCAAAGCCTTCGCCAAGTGCTAAGCTCATCTTTGTGTGCATCCAACTGTAACGAGCCTGTGTATGTCACGCTAGTAGAGGCCCTTCGCGCTGAAGACCACAGCAACCTGATAAAGGCTGGCGGTAGGAAGAAACTACGGGAGGGGAAAGGTCTCTGCAAAACTGACCGAGAAGGAAAGTCCCACAAAGTAGTTGGCTGCAGTTGTGTAGTTGTTAAGGATTATGGCAAAGAGTCCAGGCCAAGGATGTCATTGAAGTGTATTTCAAATCCAAGAAATGAAGCCAATAAAGAACTTTGTATTGGAAAAAATTTTTAAAAACTCAAACCAGTTGAATGAGAAACCAATATGATTAGTAAACTTTCACACAAATAAGTAAAATTACTAAATTTAGGATGTGGGAAATGAAAAAAAATGAGTAATTCTGAAACGGACCTAGAGTTCTTTGACAACTTTTTTTTTAAAACCAAGCATTGGAAGTCATTGTATTTAGACATTTAAGTAACTTTTTAATGTTTCTTGGGCTACGGTGGTTGTACTGAAGCTGGTGAATGGAGTGAGTGACAGTATGGGAAATGGATATGAATCTGATTATGATTAGAATCCTGTATGAAACTGAAAGACATCTGGAGACTACACCTGTCTAGATACACATATATACAGGGAAGAGTCTGATTCTATGCTCTCCTGGCCCATTAATGTAAGAGCCACACTAGACGGAAGGTTTTATCTGATTTGTCCTCTCATTTTACAGATAAAAAGCCTATGTGAAGATATAATAGACTCAAGTGGCTAGTCCAAAAACTAAAGACTGGTATAAAAGGCCAAGATGTTTATAAATGAGAATCATTGAATCACTTACTGAAGATCAAAGACTACAATCTTGAAAGAAGTACAATCAAAGTGCTTCTTAGAAGCTAGAATGATGAGACTTCATGCCACGTATGCTTTACCATATATGCTTTGGATATATTGTTAGGAGAGGTCAGCCTTTGGAAAGGGATATCCTGCTTAGAAAGATGGAGGGCCAGATGAGGAAAGGAAGACCCTCAGCAAGACAGATTGACACAATAACTGCAGCAAGAAACTTAAGCACAGCAGAGATTCTAAGCGTGGTGCAGGATTTTACAAGATTTTTATCTACTGTACACAGACAGAGTTACTATAAGTCAGAATAGCCAGAACACCAAGCAACAAGGATAATGGACCATATTTAATAAAAATCCTCCTTCCAGACGAGATTATTAATGAGTTCAGATACTTAAATTTAAGCATAGCAGCTGAGAAAAGTTAAGTTCTCCATCTAAGAAAAATTTCCCTCAAGTTGTGGGCCAAGAGTAGACATGCTGGAAGAGATAGTCTGAGAGACACCATCGTGGGCATCTCCATTACTCACAGTCCATCAGTGGGCCTGGAAAGGTTCAATGTGCTTGAATTGCTAATGGTAATTGGGGAAAAATTGTAGTTTCAAGTCTAGATTAACTTTAGCAGAAACTAGTGGGTACAGACAAAGAAACAATACAGTGGGGTCCTGGGTGGGTAGATGTTCATAGAGAGTAGAACTCAGACTCACATATTGCCCTGAATAGTGATCCTAGGCTTTGAGTACCTGTGGGGATCTAGACTGCTCCAACAAGGACCCCTATCCTTGAAGGATGTAGACATAAGATGTAGTGGGCATTGAGTGAATTCCTACTCTAAGAGACCCTACTGGACGGAGTACAATTGTCTCACAAAATTTTCAAGCTTGAGATCTTTAAGAAACAGACGGATATCTTCATCACACAGAGCAGCCGTGGGTGATAACTACTCACCTTTCAGTTAGCAGCCAGGATGCACCACCATATTAAATACCAAATGCAAAACAACATAGCATATCAAGGAAAGAAGTATTTCCCTGCTTTTTTTTTTAAAAAAAAAAAAGAATAAAAACAACCCCTAAGTATTCTTTTTTTTTTTCATTTTTCATGGAGCACAATAAATTATGTAGCTAGACTGATAAGACATCTCACCGTTCAGTCTTAAACCAATGTTATTTTAGAATCTTAATAAAACAGTCACAGCATATACAGAATAATAAGTCAGATTATATAAAAAGTCTTGTTCAGTTTCAGAAATTCTCAATGCTAATCACAGAATCAGATATTCTCAGTAGTTCAACAGGGAACAAAAATGCCTCTAAATTATACTTGCTAGTAGGGATCATTAACAATAGAAAATTTGGAATTCTTGTCTTGATTTGACAGTATAATGCATGGAATGGGAAAATGTTTGCTTTTTTAAAACTGAGTCACCAGGAAATAAAATGTTTTATCCACAATGAAAATACTATCATTCCATATTTTCTATCATATTAGGAAAAGTGAAACAAAAAAAAATCCTATTACTTCTGTCTGAGGCTGGTTTTGGTCATAAATAGCTGTCACATTCTTCCATTATCTATCTGGCACTAAACTGAGATGTACCTGGGGTCTTTGACACCAGGAGGAGCCAACAAGCAATGGAAAAATCACTTCTGTATTCCTCTGCAGTATTGGACATCCTTCACAACTTAATAGCTTACCTTGAGTTTGGCCAAAAGAAGTTCATGATCATGAAGAAGTTTTTTGGTTTCATCCTGACTGCTACCAATTTCCAGAAGATTGGGCTGAGATTCCGCTAACTGAAGTTGTATCCATTTGCCAGACTAAAATAAAAATGAAATAAAAATGCACTTTTAGTTCCTCTTATTCCTTCCTCTTGACTCTTCTCCTTTTTTATTTTTAATTCCTTTTTACACTAGGAACACTTTATTCTTTTGATAGAGATGATCTTTTCTTAATTTACAGCATACACTCCTTATCAAGTTGACTCTGACATCTGCCATCATGACGGTAAATCATTTCAGGAGGAGAATGCCCATCCTTCTTTCATGGAGCAACTGGTGGGTTTGAACCATTGACGTTTTGAATAGCAATGCAACACATAATGTACCTTATTACCAGCACTCCTTAAATTACAACATAAAAGGCCTAATATAAATCTATGCTGTACTTTTTCTTTCTTTTTTATTTTTAGGATAAATTCTTCTCTTTGTTATATTTAACTTAAATAAAAACATTCCAAATAAAGAACATGTATAAAGGAGCTCTGGTGGCCTAGTGGCAAGAAGCTGCACTGAAATCCCAGAGGTATGCGGTTCAAATCCACCAGATGATCTGCTGGAGAAGGAGGGGCAATCTCCTCCTGTACCAGTCAAATCCGATTTGACGGTACACACATAAAATAATAAAATAAAAGAAATTTTTTAAAAAAGAACATGTACAATAGATTCCATGCTAGTGAATCTTACAAGATCACAGTTAATTCACAGAGTTGCATGTTCTCCCACCCACAAGGCTGATTCCTTCAACTATAGCCAAAGTCTGCTTAGGAAAGTGAATTGTCAACTATGCCCAGGGGAAACTTTCAGTAAATTAGATTTAAGCTAATTAGTCTCTTTGCATTTGACATTGTTTGTTCAACTGGAAAGAAATAAACATCAGATAAAATGATTGCTTTTTCTCTTATCTCAAAGATGAAACATAACATTTCCCAATTTTTGTTGTTGTACATTCAACAAATATACACAAAAAAAATCAGTAAAACCAGAGGCGCACGACAAGTGCTATTTGATGTTGTCAATTTGTTTTCCACATTCAAGATCTTTTCACTGCTTGAAGACTTTACTCATTACATTTTCTGAGAAATTTCTTTTCAAGAAGCAACCCCTGATTAAACAAGAAGAACTGCTAGTAGACATGAATATGTGGGTAATTGAATTACTAATGGGAAACTAGAAAAATACATTTCTATTTCACAATATAATTAGTGCTCTGAGACAGTGTGGAAACGAGAAACCTATAAAGTTCAAACACTCCACTTCTTTAAGGTAGATTTTGCAATTGGAATAGTTTTGGGTTTATTTTATCTGGGGAGGCTTTGAGGTGTGGAGTGGTTATAGGAGGTGAGGATCTTTCTTAGACACAGAATCCTGTTGAAATAAAAATTTCCATTGTAATTTTAAAGATTTTCCCCATCCCTACAATCTACCACTGATTCTCCCACAATTCATTCTCTAAGCATCAGTCTTCAACCTACTCACGTTAACCTCTTTTTCCTCACTGCTAAAATCTACAGTTACTCAAAGTATTATTAAATCACATGCAAATCACATGCTACTTCTGCTTCAGGTTGTTCTAATCCTACTTCAGTACCTTCGAAAATATTTGAGAGTGAAGGAGTCAATTGAGGTCTCACTACAGTCTGTGGAGGCCAACAGGTCTGGGAAACTGGTTTCGGAAGGGGTACTTTACCCTCTGTACTTCTCCATAATGAATCACTTTGCTCAATGTCAAGTGCAGTTTCCCTGTTAAGAATTTTTTCTCTACCAAAAAAAAATAAAACACCCTGGTAATTAAGTTATATTAATCAGGCCTTGTTGTCTATGGGCTAACAAAAGGCCAAACAAGTCACTTAATTTAAATTAGTGAGGTCCTAAAAGAAACTGGCTGCTGAAAACCAGCTTGTTTGTAGGTATTTCTTTCATTAAACAGTGAATTCTTTTTTATTTTTTTGTGGGATTTTTTTCTTTATTGAGATTTAAATGGAAGTTTATAGAGAACTTGGATTTCCATTCATTCATTGTTCCACATTTTTTCTCCCTGCCCCCCTAACCCCACAGTTCTCTTTTCTCTTTGGGGAAAACAACAACAACAACAAACTTTCCTTGTTATACAGCCCCCCGCTCCCCCCCCCCAGTCCACTCCCCCGTTTGCTCCTCTCCTTCAAACGCAAAAGAAAAACTCCCTCATTGGTACGCAATCCCCCCCCCCAGTCCACTTTACTATGCAGCTCTTATTCTGGACTCTTGTCATGCCAATAATACCTAGCCGTATACTTCTTTTATACAGTTCTCCCCATTATCTGTTTCAGTGCCATTTACATTATTTATCTTCTCTTCTCTTAGTTTGCCATGTACATTATTTATCTCCTCTTTTCTTAGTTTTGCCCCCCCCCTTATGTCAATCCTGTTTTATAACAGTGGCATTATGCAGTATTTGTCCTTTTGCAACTGAGCTATTTCACTCAGTAGTATGTCCTCCATAGTCACTCATTTTGTATATTTCACAAGTTCCTTGTTTTTCAGTGCTGCATAATCCATTGTGTGAATATACCAGAGCTTCTCTATCCGTTTGTTTGCTGAAGGGAACTGGGGTCGTTTCCAACTCTTTGCTATTGTGAACAAAGCTGCAATAAACATGAATGCGCATATATCTGCTTTGATGGCAGTTCTGGTTTCTTAGGGTATATTTCCAGTAGTGGGATTGCTGGGTCAAATGGTATTTGTATTTCCAACTTTTTGAGAAGGTGCCATATTGACTTCCATAGTTGTTGTACTTTTTACACTCCCACCAACAGTGAATAAGGGTTCTCCACAACCTTGCTAGTATTTGTTATTTGCTGCTTTGTTGAATTTTGCTATTGTTACTGGGGTGAGATGATATCTCACAGTTGTTTTGATTTGTATCTCTCTTAGAGCTAGGGAGTTTGAACATTTCTTCACATGTTTATTCATCATCTGAATGTCTTCTTTGGTGAAGTATCTGTTCATATCCTGTTCCCATTTTGCAATTTGGTTGTTTACCTTAAATTTGTTGTGGTGTAAACACTGAATTATTTAGGTGTAAAATTGTCTAGAGCTTGATGGTCCAGGAGTTATTATAGGACATTTTCATAGAGAGTAGAAGCATATTTGCCTTCTTTGCAATGATATAACATATTTCACAATGATAGGAAAAATTGCTTGACATAAAGCATGCAGTGACCTTAAGACACCATTGCCTGAAACTTCCTGCGGTTAAAAGCAAACGTGACACATGCCCTTTGCACCTTGGCAGACAGGGTCTTCCCCTCAACAACAGGACAAGGATTTAGCAGTCCCACTAGACTTGACCATGCCAAAGCCAGGGCTGCAGCAAGGTGCATGGCAGAGCCTCTTGCCAGGTGTTGCCACCTCTCCATTAAAAGCAGCCCCCATCCACCCATACCTCACTCCTCAATCACATTCACCTTCCAAAAATCACAACCTTTTCTCTGGTCCCTTCGGGTCCTGACTGTGGCAATGATGAGACTATTCATCACAAACACCCTGCCTATAAAAGGAAAATTGAAAGTCTAAGGAAACTTTTTTTTACCAAGCTGCTGTGCACATCTTCTGACTAACAGAAAGGAAAGAGAAAGTCAGTTTGAAGTTCACAGAGAAATTCTCTGCGGCCAACGCAAGAAGCAATCATATGCTCGCCGTGGTGTCTTCTGTGTGCTGTGCATCACTGAGTTCTGGGGATAGTCTCAAGAGTTTTCAATATAGAGCAAGAAGCCCACAGCCACGGAGAAGAAGAAAGTTGTAACTTACCTTTATGACAGCTATAATGATTTTGGAGTCCCCAGCCTGCACAGCTACAGAGCTAACTGTTGTTGTGGAAAATTCCACACCAGGGCTTCCTTGGCTGGACATGGTACTTCAGAGGCAGAGTTTACACTCTGGGCAACTTCTGTGCAGAATTTTGTTTGCTGGTCATCTCAGAAAGCGACCACCGGGGCTCCTTGGATTCATTCAGGGAAAGAGCTCAGCTCCCACTGAGCACTCTGCCAAAAGGAAAGAACAGGAGGTTAAAAATAGACAACCCCATTGAGTTTATCATGAGAGAGAGAGAGAGGAGAGCTCGGAGAGATCGACACACCCCTAGTATGGTAACGCTGCTTGTTATTTTTGCCATTATCTTAAATGCCTTTATCTTAAATGTAGAGGACAGCTTTGTGCTTTCTGCCTATCATTTGACGCTTGAGAGTGAATGGGGGGGGGGGGAGGCTGTTACATACTGACAACCCAAATTAATTTTGCCATTGAAATATAATTCTATGAATCTTAAATCCAACAATTCAGTGACCTGGAAATTAATCTTTTCAAGTGTTTTGAAATCTCTCATGCAGAGAAAACCACTAAAAAAAAAAGTACTTTCCACAAACTTTTGGCATTTGTCTTGGGGTTGTTAAGTCACAGAATTGCTTAATTCTGATTAATTGTTAGATTATTCTGCTTTTTAAAATTCTACCACCTACTGCCAAATGAAGGATATAGGGAATAGTCACATGAGCTCAGAACTTCAGATTTCTTAGGGAGGATAAAACTAAACTAAACTAAACAACACCTGCAACTAGATTTATGAACAAATATCTGTTGTTTTAATATGTATTTGACACTACTGTGATGAAAAGTATAGTCAAATTCAGTCTCAGGATTGCTAATGAACATTAAACATCATAGTCACCTTTTAATTGTAGCAAGAAAGTGATCTTTGTTTGGGTAAAAAGTTAATATTACACTTCAGGCTTGGTGCCAGCCTTACTCCACCCTGAAACACCCCCCACCCTCTACTCCCCACCCCAAGCAAGAAACTTCTAGCCAGTTTCAAATCAGAGCCCAGGATTGTGGATTAAACTCATTGCTAGAAGCTCGGAGTGTGTCACAAGTTGTCTGTGGTATTAAACAGCAGCTGTTGGATTCCCTGTCAAAGAACAGCTGAAAATATCGCTGAAGTTTGGGTCAGAGGTCAGATGCAAACACATCAGAGACACTGACTCAGAAGCTGCTGGAGCTCTGGAAAATCTCTGGCACCAAGCCAGAATGGAGCCTTTAGCAACAAACAAAGTTAATGAACTCACTCACTCTTGAAACCCTTTAGCTCAATTTAATGGTGTGTTTAAGTTCAAGGCTGATGTTCAAAAGACTGAGTCAGCACCATTGCCTGTTTTGCTAAAGTTCAAGATGAGATTCTTGAGTCACGGGGTGAATACGCTTTTATGCAGACTCTGGTGCTCAGCAGTTCTTTTCGTTTCCCAGAGCATGTCATGGCTGCGCTGGGGTCTCACAGACACAACCCAGAGTCTCCACCCTGAACGTCTGCTGTTGGCCCAGTGAAATGGAAACCACACCCTGATCGCAGTTCCTGTGCTCCTTGAGCATCACCTGACACCATTAGGGAAGATTTTAGAAGGCACATGGTGGAGCAAACACCAAAGGACACCACAGTGTAGAAAAAGTTATAAATGGCTTTCATTCCAGCCAGACATGGAGGACTTCCGATCAGAGATCAGATACACCGAGGCTATGAAAGGCACATTCTTCCTGCCTGAGCAAGTAGCTGGTTTATTAAACATATAAAACAAACTTATTGTCACTAGTGTTTAGCCAATTGTTCTTGAGGAAAAGCAAGAGCTGACAACATTGTTGCAGAATATCCACACCCTCAACAAAAATGTTCAAAGGAGGTCATTGTGTAGTTTGCCAACCAGGAGAGCAAACACTCAAAGCACACAGTGCCCTTTCCCAGAACTAACCCTATTGCTAGCAACTCAGCCGTCACAAGTTGTGTAAAGGTCTTCAGGAGGCAAGGGATGTTTTTACAAAGACCGTGGGCTCAAGTACAAGAGTGGCTATGTCCACAAAGTCCAATTAAGCTGGACGATTTGTACAAAATGGAATGTCAGGCACTGCAGGTCCAAACAGGTGAGAAGGAGACAGCAGATGAGGAGAAAGAATATGGCTGGGAGACTGACTCATTGCCAGATGTAAGAGCAAAGGGAATTAGGAACACTCAAGAGTTTGTTAAGAGCTTTACCCAGCATCTGAGCACCAGAGGTAGTGCCATTTTTTGTGAATAGATGATCTTTCATTCTGTTAATTAGTTGGAGCAGGGCCTTACATGAAGAAAATGTCTCCACAAGGGCAGACTGGCAATAGTACACTCTGTCCAGGTAAATTTGTTTCTGGCAAATTTTTTAACCCAAATAGCTGGCATTAAATTCCTAAAATACTTGAATCATTATTTTCTCTCTTCCCCCAATTTCTCTCTCTCCTTTGCTCTGAGGTTTTTCCTCATTGACTTTTTCGTCTTTATCTCCACAGAAGTCCTTTTGTAAGCCTTCTCCATTAATGTCTAGCTCATTTGGAAACATGGCCTGCTTTTCTTTGCCTGGCTCAAAATTTAATTACAAATTGTACTCTTTAACACTCACAAGTTGTTTGAAGGATATTTAGTAAAAATAGATTGGGCTGAAGAAATTGGTACTCTGTAAACAAGTGGGATTTTTTTTTTTTTTTACTTCAGCATTAAAGTACTAAAAGACTTGTGAGTTATAGTTTGTTTATATTTCACCTCCCCTATCACCACACACACACATACACACCAATTCAAGCATTCTCATATTTTTTGAAGTTTATGGAAGATCTTGAGAGGTTATTACGACTTCTTTGTTTATCCCTCTGGGAAATGCCTGCTTTCATACCAGCTGAATTTTGGTGAAATACCTTCCATGGGGAATCAAAAAGCTGTAACTGGATGCTATAGAGTTGCAAATAGTACATTTTTAATGAAATATAGATAAGCTAGTCATCTGAAAACTTTTTCCTATGAATATTTTTTATATCTATGAGTATAACACTAAAACAACAGGTTTTCTTTTACTGGAGTATATATGGGATCTGCTCATTTTGTCATAGAGAAATTCTAGGCACTTGTCTGAATAAACTATTGTTATTGTTAAACTCTATTTAACTTTATAAAAGTACGTTAGATATAATGGCTATAAGTAAGCCAGACTGAGTATACTTATCCAGATTAAAAATCCAAGTCAAAACTTTCCCTGCTATTAGTAGTAGTATTTGTTGTTAAGAACTGTCCAGTTGAGTACAATTCATAGCAACCCTATGAACAAAGGATCTGGACCCTGTCCTATTCTGTTATCTCTATCACCCCCAACTCATTTGAGCCTATTGTCACAGACACTGCATCAATCTATCTCATTAAGGGTCATCTTCTCCTTCGTTGGCCCTTTCCAAGAATGATGTTCCTGTCCAGAGAAGAGTCTTTCCTGACAGCATGTACAAAGTATGTGAAATGAAGCTTCCCCATCCTTGCCTCCAAGGAACACTCTGGCTGCACTTTCTCTAAGACATACCTGTTATTTTGTCAATCCATGGGATATTCAACACTCTTCTCCAACACCACAACTCAAAGGCATCCATTCTTCTCCTCTTATCCTTATTCATTGTCCACCTCTCAGTTACATAGTAGGTGATTGGAAAGATTGCAGCTAGAGTCAGATGCACCTTAGTCTTTAAACTAATACCTTTGCTCTTCGGTATTTTGGAAAGATCTCCAACAGCAGACTTTCTTAGTGCTACACATCTTCTGACTGCTGGCTGGTACCAAGGGTGTTAATGTGGACCCAAGAAAGATTCAGTCATTGGCTGTTTCAGTCTTTTCTCCATCTATCATGATGTTGGCTATTGGTCTGGTGGTGAGGATTTTTAATTTCTTGATATTGAGATGTAATCCATATTGAAGACTGCTATCCTTGATCCTCTGCAGCAAGAGCTTCAAGTTCCCTCATTTTCAGCAAGCAAACTTGTGTCTTCTGCATAATGCAGCTTGTTAATCAGTCTTCCTCCAGTTCTGATGCCATCCTCTTCTTCATAAAGGCTTTCATAAAGTCTAGCTTCTCTAATGTTTCACTCAGCGTACAGATCGAATTGGTATTGAGAAAGGATAGAGTTCTCATACATCTTTCCCAATTTTAAACCAAACAGTGTTCCCTTGCTCTGTTTGCACAGCAGTTTCTTGGTCTAAGTAGAGATTTGTTGTTGTTGCTGATTGCCTTCAAGTTGAGCATTGCTCACAGTGACCCTATGAACAAAAGGCCTGAAGCTTTTCTATAATTATCGACATTTGTCAAAGTTCATAGAGTTTCCAGAGGCATGTTGTTTAGGAAGCAGATGCCACTCCTGCTTCCAAAGATAATTTAGTAAAAGCATAATTAAATGTCCTGAAATATCCATTCTTCTCAATGTTTGCCATAGTTCGTTATGATACACACAGTTAAATGCCTTTGTATAGTCAATAAAACACAAACAGACCGACAGTCTTCCGGTATTCTCTTTTTTCAACCAATATCCATCTGACATCAGAAATTATATTCTTGTGCCATAGCCTCTTCTAAGTCCATTCTCAACTTTTTAAGTTCTCTGTCAATGCACATTTTTGTCAAACCATTTTTGGATGATCTTCAGCAATATTTTATTTGCATGTAATATTAGTGATCTTGCTTGATAATTTTAATGATATTAGTAGTAATGATTACTTTTAATTAATAATAGCTATATTTGGGTTTTGTTTCTGTTAGGTGCTGTCAAGTAAACTCTGATTCATAGTAAACCTATTTACAACAGATCAAAACCTTGCCCAAAAATGCACCTTGTCCCAATTTCTGCTGAGTTTACGCCTGTTGTTCCAGTCACTGAATCGTAGTTCCACCTCACTGAGGGTTTTCTCTTCTTTTGCCACTTCTCTACCTTTCCATATATTATTTCTTTTCCAAAGACTAATCCTCCTGTGAATATGCCTAAAGTATGTGAGATAAAAAATGTCATAATCTTTACTTCTAAGGAGATGTCTG